TGGGTTTTGGTGGTTTGAAAGATCTGTAGAGGCTATGGGACGACCTCTGAAGCATTAATATACCTTCAGGACGGACTCAGGACTCTGTAAACCTGAAAAATGCAATGGACTCAACGGAATAGTCCGTCCCCGTACCCGTGTAGGTCGGTAAATTGGGAACGCGTCCCAGGGTTAAGAATTCTGCTAATGTCCCCCTAAGTTTTGACATCAGTAACTTTCATCCAAACAGATACGTGCGCGAGTGGCTGGGGTGCATGGCAGTCTCCGATATTGTGACCTATGACCCTGCGCATGAGACATACTGGCTTCCTGCGCACCGTATGGGCATCTTGCGACCTGGCATGCTATCCATGGCCATCCCATCCCTGTCAGGTGGTTTCTTCGAAGTGTCAGAGTGCTTCAAGAAAAATGGACCAGCAGGCAAGTCAACAACCCCGTTTGCTTGAATCTTCTAGAAAACATGGCACCCTGATTGCAAGCCCAAATGCAGGTGTTACTTGTATCAAACGTTTACCACAATAGTTTCATCCTGCGATATTTTCTCCCCTGCTTTCAAGGTGTTGAATACGACCAGTACCCTAAATTCGACGAAGTCTTGGACAAGTTGCACGAGCCATTCTTCCGAGACCAGTTTCTTCAGGAGTTTATTCCATCTATGCCTAAGCTACTGCAGCAACTCAGTAAGTTGCCTGAAGGGAGAAATCAAACAGTGATTTGTATCAACGTGACTTCGTGTTGAATCATGCAACGATCAGGGTAATGCCATTTGTGACTGGCTCTGCAAAAATGGCCCTTGGGCATAAGCCCAAGGCATTTTAATAAGGACGAAATTTGTGTATTTTTACCTCTGTCACTCATTCTATTTCCGAGATATGGTAAAATTTAGAATTGACGGCTGGCAGATGTACGGAATGGTTTGTCACATAAAGAGGCATAGCGTGACTTAAGGGCCTTTTTTGCAGAGTGGGTCACATTTATGGACTTTTGCCATAGCATTGTGTTTGCACGGTACCTAATATTGATTTAGTTCGCTCACTATTCACCAAACAAGGGCCTTCAAAACGCGCAACGTTTGTTTTCCCGATAGTTAGGAGATTACTTCAGTAATCTGTCCCCAATTCGTTACTTTTGATGAAAATCGGGAAAGTGTTTTTTGTTACAATATGATTTGTTTTAGGAAATCTTTTGTCCTGCTTGAGAACCAGTGGCGGCGCTATGTGGTGCCATGTGGGTGCAGAATGCACCCACTGAATAGCCACTTGTACCGACGTTTGCACCTGCACAAAGTTTGTCACGACAGGGCGATTAACCTTTTCGTTTTACGACTCCGTGGCATCATAACCCAGGAAAAATTAAGGATCATTTGCACTCACGCGATTCTGCCTTGCCCCACACTTGAACCCACAGCCGCCGAGGTCTGGCGCCGCCGCTGTTGAGAACTCAAGGAGTTGGTGGTGAAATCATCACTGTTTGACATTTAAATAATGAAGACTCTATGTCTTCGCTGATCATTACGTATGTGTTACTTCAAATGTCAAAATTAAAACTCAACTGTACTTTATGTTGCCGTGTAGAGCAAGGAATCCAGGTGCTTGAGGTGGGATGCTGCGAAGGGGATTCACTGAGAATGCTCGCCTCTCGCTTCCCCAACAGCTTCGTCTATGGTCTAGACATCTCCCAGGCGGTCATCAAAGAGGCGGAGGCTAAGACCAGGCGAATGGGTCTGACCAACGTCGAGTTCGTCTGCATGGACGTCTGCCGCATGCCCGCTGACTGGACTTGGAAGTTTGACTACATTTTCATTTACTTCGTGCTCCACGACCTGTCCTACCCGACCACGGCTCTGAGGGAGATGTACCGGGTACTCAAGCCCGGGGCGACCCTCTCCGTGGTCGATACGGTGACCCACACGCGACTCCAGGACAACATCAGGGACGAGGACAAGGCCTATGTATTGACGCAGTTCACCTTGAGCCTGATGAATTGCCTACCAGTGTCCCTGCATCCAGGTGACGGGGCGGGACTAGGCGCCATGTGGGGCCGCGAGAAGGCGATAGCGATGTTGGAGGGGGAAAACTTTGAGGTTGTGTCTATCAGCGCCACAAACGCGCAATTGAATGGACTGCATTATCTTTGCAAGAAGCCAGTAAACAATGGTAACAACAACAACAACGTCTGTAGAAACGGGATTGCTTGATGGTGAGTGGTTGGCGTATACCACTGACCATTTACACTAGGGATGTGCAACTTTAGTTCAGAAAAGGTTCAATGCGTGTTAAGGCCTGCAAAGTATCCAAGGAGAAATACATTTACATAAAACTGGATTACATATCACTTCCAGCCATAGCAGTGCAAGACGTTGTCGTTGATGTAACTGTGATGTCACGCACGCGCAGGTGCACTCAAAATCAAGTCTACCTGTCCTGAGATGGGTTGCTTATAGTAAGATGCTATTAGATTGTCTGTACATCTGTATCGTTCTGCCATTTCGTTTTCCTTTTAAATGTTTGGAGCAGACACAAGGTACTTTATGTTTTACTTTCTGAGAAAAGTGTACCACAAAGTTGCCTAACCAAAATGAGATTTCACTTTCCAGTCGTGTTTCATGGTGGGTGAAATAATAAAATTATAAATATTGTTCTGATACCTTCATAAGTATACAAAATGCACAGTAAAATAAGGCATCCCGGATTGAAAAATGTCAGAAATATCCCATCTACGGGTCGCAAAATTATTTGCAAGTAGATGCCGCATAATACTATTATCAGATATTTTATCAGGTGGTGGGAAAAATACTTCCATTTTTGTATCTTTTAAGACGATTTTAGCTGATTAGATAAGTCAAAAACACACCAAAGTGGTCTTCGAACATGCAACTACGTCCCCGAAAAAGAACAAAGCCATAATATTAAGCAACATTCGGGAGGAATGTACCATTATGGGTTTATGAATATTTGTTAATAAACGTTAACAGTAGTCGCGACTTGTGGATTCAAAATGACGGCCCTAATCACATGTGTTTCCAAGGATTACTCTGAAAATAAAACAAATTTCATTTCAGAAGGCCAGAAAGAAGATCATAAACCTGGTTGAAATTTCTGCATGCATTTCTTTTTTTTCTATAAAAGTGATGAATGAAGAAAATCAGTCCGTCAAAACAAAACGAGAAAACTGAAACTTATGAATAACGCGTGTCACGTGATGAGTTTTCTTGAGAAAAAGTTGAGAACGATCCGTAACACGCCTGCGTTCGTGCACTTGAGCCGCTGGCAGTCGCACATCCCTGTTTAAATGGTCGTTGGCGTATCCCAAGATGTTGGAAATTCAGCTCGAAAGGTGGACTTGTCAAATGAACGGAGCAAGTGCCCAGCCTAATATCGCATTCCGGGGAAGATTTATATAGTCAGTCAACTTTTAACCAAGATCCACAGCTTGAACGTTTCAGTGAACGGACTATTGTGTAACACATGATGGCCCCTAAAAATATTTAAAACAAAATACATGTACATAAATTAATGCGTTTCTGAACCAGACAATGTATAACTTTTACGAGAGCGTAATTCCGTCGTCTAGTTTTCTCCATTACGTCTTAGGAAACGAACTGTTTTCCTATAGAGATGTAAAACTAAGAATACTGAAGCAAGGACCTGAAGTAATCTGAGAACGAGATTTCTGCTTGTAAAGGACTAGCTGTAACCGAAAGAGCCGGAAGTTTTGTCATGACACACTTCATTTTAATACAAAAAGGAGGAAATATTTTGAATCTTCTATGCCTATGTCTTGCTACAGTGCCAACCGATTCATCACATACTTATAAGTCCTGTATGTGACATTTGATTGAATACTTTCGAAAAGTAAATTATTCTTGCTTGTGCCTGAGAATCCTCAAAAACAATTCAACATATCAAATCAAAAAAGCAGACTAGTACCAAGAACTCTCCAACAATTAAAAAAACAAAAAAAAACAAACACGTTTATGAAAAGAGTGAAAAACGTAGAGGTCATGTACAGGTTTCCCTTCACATTTTTAAAAAAATCCTTGGCGTTCAAATTTAGAACCATTCAATTTCAAACTCCTCTCGAAACTTTGTGAGCTTTCATATTTTCGTCTTCAGTAACTCATTTTTTTTACTTTGTTCAATTTCATACATTTACCGTACTTTTTCTGACGGACAGTTTGATTTCGTCGTCTTCAATTGACAAGACTACTGTAGATAAATCGATTTTGGATCTTGTGAGCATGTTCTTGTTTTCGTGCGTATCTTACGTTTTCATATGCACAGTTCTACTTTAAACATATTCCATTTTTTCATTGTTTGTCTAGTAAGTATGTTCACTGATTAACATGGGTTTATAGTCTTATTTGAGCAAAATTGTATCTTTTTGATACTTATTTGTAAGTTCATTAAGTTCTTCACTATTTTGTGCACCAACAACCGGAAGAAATAAGATCATAGACATATGAAATTGTGACCTTCACATTTCATGCCAAAAATAAGTGGCCTTGGAGATATTTTTCACAAATAGGGCTTTTTTTCAAGTGGTCCAATTTCACTTTTTGTTTTATCAGCACCAAATATGACTGAACTGAACACAGCTGCTGTATACAACTCGAGGAATTCGATCGAAACATTCTTGAAATTGATCAAACAAAGACGACTTTGTACCAGCTTACTGAAAGAATCGATTTAGGGATTATTTTCGGCTCTTTTCGAGTGGTCTCTTATCTTTGGTGATTCTGGAGAATTTTATTTGGCATTTTTTTCATTCACTTGGCTGATTGGCTCACTGTTTGTTTGAAACCAATTTTGTTCCTTCGGCAAATTTGGTTTTGGCACGGCAGAGGATTTTGGCTCGACAAGGTCTGCCGTGCTCATTTCATTAAGTACGGCAGAATCGAGCACGGTGTGGTTTCGAACGTCGTGCTACTGTCCAGTCGATTACAATTGCTGTTCTATTTTGGTCCTAAACTAGGTTGATAATCAGGAATGCGTTCATGTTCACAAAGTGTAGTACAGTTGAGAAATAATCATAGTCAAACAAACACGTCAACAAATGCGACTAAAATGGAAATTTCTCGAAACGCACGGGACAGATTGCCAGACAGAGCTTGCGGGAGATGGAGTTTCAATACACCATTTCTGTTTCAAATTCCTGCTTGATATAAGATAAGATAAGCTCCAAGCTGACCCTAAAACGTCTGTCCAAACGCTGGAATTAGACTCCCAACTGACACTGAACTGTTCACCTGGGTGATCCGCCTATTTCATTATGACGTCACTGCAAGGTCTCAGGGCATCAAAACATCGGGCCTTAAAAATAAAAAAGGCCTCGATTTTTAACGAGAAATAAAGTACTGGAAATGATCGCTAAATCTAAATCCGTTTTCTTTGTGACTCAGTGTTGTGACTCTGTGTTTTGTGTTGTGCTGGTCTGCCATGTTGGATTTATTTAAGTTCGACTGGGCTTTTTGAATTAAATTTGAATTTAAACTACTGCCGTGCTTATACGCCATGCTAACGCCGTGCTCCATTAGATTTTATGCGACACGGCATAAGCAAGACGTTTGAACTGGCTCTAAAGGTCAAGCAAATCTGGAACTCAGTGCCTCTATATAGAAGACTTTGCACAGCTCCCCAAACGAAAGGTTTTAGGCGTATAAATCGTCCAAGAACTTCATAGATTAAGCAACCTCCTGGCGAAGCGAAGGACAAGTATATACATGTACACGTAGCAGTCTGCAAATTATCCACACATAGGGCCACTTACTATCATGCCTTGAAATCAGGCGCTAGGCTGGAAGTCATAATAAGATAAACGATTCATCTGTGTCGGAAATGGGGGGGGGAAGGATGAATTGCCGGCCATGGAAATTTGAAAGGGGGGGACACCATACACACTAAAGGTGATGTTCACGCTGGAGATCTACGTTTGTAATGTGCATCACATTCATGCAGAATCTTACTTCCGAATGGCATGTCCTTTTTACAATTACTTTTCCTTTTTAGTGCTACTACAAACATTTTAGTCATTGGGAAATCTTGAAAATTCTTCACAATCCCCTTTATTTTTTTTGTTCATCACAAAAAGTGGGTGTGTGTATGTGTGAGTTTGTTTCTGCATTCAATTGGCGACCCTGAACAATAGAGGACAATAAGGTCCCCGATTGACAGAAGGTCCCCGATTGACAACTGTGTACAAAACATAGGCCTATGGGTGGTCTTGTAAAAAAGTTAAAGTACAAACAAAAGAGGAACAATAGGGGGTCCCCAGTTGCAGGCAAATACACACTTACATGTGTGGGTGGGGGATTGATTCAGTAGCCCATCCCCCACCTCAAAAAGTGTGTGTGGGGGGTATATATATCCCTATCCCTCGGGATTTACACCCATGATTGATTGGATGGGGTTTACTTTCGAATTTTAACCCACAATTTAAAAAAAAATTAAACCAAGGTTGGAACAGAAAATAGTCTGGTACCGGTAGATAAGATCAAAAATGGCTTTCCGGTATTGGTCGTTTGTAGTCAATATATACCTGGTATCATTGAACGTTCAAAAAGAATTATACTGCTGACAATCACTTGGACAAATTAAAATGCTAAGGACAAAGACGTATATTCAGAAATCATTGTTTCCAGCGTCTACTTCGCCCTTTATCGTCCTCACACCCTGCTTCAATCGATCGGTCTTGTCTTCAAACTGGTGGCGAGTGTCGAATGGAATTTATCCAAGAACTGTACTATATGAGAGGACGCAAGGCCAAGTAAAGTCCATACGTAGAAGTTATCTTTAGACTCACTTTTTGTGCAGCTTTTTTATGCGTCTTCAGTGTTATGAAACTGACACCCGTGTGTTGAAAAGTGCACAAGCAATGAGAATTTCCNTGACAAGTGAGGGCGCTGTTGCTGAGATGTCATTCGGAAAAGAAGCTTCAGTCACGTGTTGGTTCATGCTTTTCTGTTAAAATGGCAAACCCAGAATTTGCTGGGTTGGAACACTCTGAGAGTATTTGCTGACTCGTTTTTGCTTGGTACTTATACGCCGATATCTAATATGTGGTGTTTAGGGCAAATATCGCCTACAGGCTATTTATAGTTGTCTTCTTTGCTGACTACATTAAAGCAAACGCAACATTATGTAACGTGATGTTGATGTAACCATGCCTTTTTGCTATATAAGTCTGATCAGTAAAAAATAAAAATTAAAGATTGCATCTTTACAAAACACGACTCCGATGGACGAATTTAATAACGCAATTTGTGAATTTGAATCACTTAAGTTGGAAGCAACACATTAAAAGCATCGCTTCCAAAGCAACTCGTTTTGACGGTCTTATTGGTAGAGTTGTAAAATGTCACCACTGCTCAATCTGTAGACCTTTATTAGAATATGCAGCAACTGTGTGGTGCCCTGTTTTACAACTATTCAGCAGGATGTTGTGGAAAGGGTCCGAAGAAGCTTTACTCGTTTTTGTTTAGGCCTGCCGAGAAAGACATCGATTAATCCTAATCTCGAGATTGAGTGTTCTGAAGGGTGTATTCAGTTATGTTTACCCTTGTAAGAAACGAGTATATTATTGTTAACCGTAAGCTACTGATTTTATAATATATCTACGGAGCTCTGCAAGTGCCATCCAACTTGTTGAGATCCTGCAATACAAGTCTATTACATACATAACACTTCGCGCAAGTCTTCAGAGGGTTTGCATTCCTTTCCACGTGTCAGGCATGCAATTCACACAATAGGTTCAAAGGATCAATGGTAATTCAAATGAGGTGGCCCAGGATGGGTATATAAACCATATATTGCTGTCCTTATAATTTTCCATCTAGATTAGCAAAGGAATTTGCTTATGAATTGAGTGTCCCCCTCACAGATATCCTTAACAGCTCCTTCAGTGCTGGGACTGTTCCCAAACAGTGGGAAAAAAGCTGTTGTTAGTACCATTGACAGACTTAAAAATTGCAGAAGGCTTCATCACTTGTTGGGTCAAATCAGATATTGAAGCTGAGGTTGACCCCCGTCAATTTGTTAATATAGAAGGGGTGTCCACGATACACTGTTTGATTAACCTAGAGCATTATCTTTCCAGGGAGCCGAAGATAGTTGCAATGTGGGAACAGTGGTCTTAACAGATATTTCTAAAGCCTTTGATCACGTGGATCACACCTGTCTTATTAACAGGATATGGGTGTCCGTCCAGCCATTGCTCCCTGGATCTGCGACTTTCTACGTTATAGGCAACAATGTGTTCGATTAAATAGCGTCTTGTCTCATTATATTTCTTTGAAGGGAGGAATTCCACAAGGAACCAAGTTTGGCCCTGTGGGCTTTCAAATCCTTGTAAATTCGGCCGCTCACGATGCAAAAACTGAATGCTGGAAGTATGTGGATGACATGACATTTGCAGGAAATCGTTTGGCTTCCAAAACAGCATCAATGCGCACAGATTTGGAAAAACTTCGACAGTGGTCTGAGGAGAACCATATGAAATTGAATCCTAGCAAATGTCAAGACATTCAAGTCTGCTTGAGCAAAACCCCACCTGGGCGTACTGACTTACGTATTGGCACTGACAGCGTTGCATATGTTTTCGAAGCCAAAGTGTTGGGACTGTGGCAGCAAAGTCATCTTAAATGGTCTGTTCATATTCAGAAATTGCTAGAAAAGGCCAATAAGAAATGTTTTTGTTACGCACTTTGAAGATATTTGGTTTTGGTCCCTCTGAACTTAGCACTGTGTACACTGGTTATATAAGTCCTGTTGTTGAATATGCAGATGTCATGTGGCACTCCGGTCTCACCGGTATACATTGTGATGAAATTGAATCCATTCAAAGGACAGCGTGTAAGACGGTGTTAGGTCGGCACTCTGCCTCTTATAATGACAATCTTAAAATCTGTAATATTGAAACCCTGGAAGATAGGATACCCATTGTATTCAATTCGCTCAAAAACTCAGTAACAACAGTCGCACTTGTTCTTTGTTACCGTCAACAAGATTTGAACAACATAGAAGGCAGCTGAGAAATAGTCAGAAGCTCTCACAAATTGGCTGTAAAACCGCGAGATTCAAGAATAGTCCTTCTTTATTGATGTTTTAAATAGGTAAACCCCCCATTATTTTGAGTCCGTGAATATTGGTTGTGAAGTTGATATCTGTCCATCGTCATGTGTATTTTTTTTAATTTGATTTAGATTGGTGTTAGTTTCTCATTTTCAACGTATAACATACATGTAATTTGGCTGTCAGGCCACGAAATGTATGCAAAACAATAAAACCTAAAACTGAAAACCTAACCCATGCCGGAAAGAGTCAGTATCTTTCTTCGTGTGATAGGCATTGCGAAAAGAGCTCCTACATTGCAGCCACGATGACGGATTCTGAGAAAGATGACACCAGGTCGCTTCAACCTGGCCAAAGTTACAGAAGTTATCAGCTTCTGTAAACGCCATGCAGGACATGCTGACATCTCTGGTGCAAAATGCCGCCCTTCCTGCCGGACGTGCGAAGCATGCTGGCCAGGACAACCCTGTCGAGGTTTGACCCAGCTCGGTCTGAGTTTGACCTGACCAGTGTTCTGGCAGGTACTGAGGCTGCAGCATGTGCTGATTTTGATGTTCTTCCGAGCAAAGACATTTACACAGATAGTGACACCAAAGGCCCTGAGATTTTCGGCAATCTAGCCGAAGGGGTGGTTAAAGCTGTAACTTTACTCGTCAAAAAGGGACAAATGAAAAAATTGCTGAGCTATATCCCACGCTGTAAAATGCAGTGGCCGTCACGGCACCCAGAATTGACAGTGAGCTGTGGGGAACAACCCCTGCTTCGGCAAGACCCAAAGATGTGATCTTTCAGCAAATTCAGAAACATGTCGTCAAAAGGTTGTTCCTTTACTGCAACATACTAACCGAGCTGCGTACCGCAGCTAAGTCGGGCCAACCTGTGAATGCCGACAAGGTCAAAGAACTTAGATGGCATAACCCTTGCAGGGAATGCCTCTTACGAACTAAGCATGGAACGGAACTGAGAGGAACTAAAAAGGTCCTCGATCCAATGTATCGGGGTCCATGCTCCCGCAATACTCCCGTCTCTGAAATGCTGTTCTGGAAAAACCTGAATAATACCATGAAAGAGGTAGCTGAAGCCTACAAGGCCGGTAGAAAACTGAGAAGAGTCCTCAACTTTCGTATCGCCGTTATACACCTTATAATAAACACCAAAGTCAAATTGGCCAAGGTTCGTCCGCATACTACGGCGGACTCGCCGGTATAGACAAGCACTACTGGCGTGCATCTTCTCGGGGCTCTCAGGTGTCCCAATCAGGTCGTGGACGACCCTTGTGGCACCAAAAGCCCACCA